AAAAGGAAATGGCGGTTGTGCCCGATTACTTTCAGTCGTGTTCTCAGCCGCCTTCTAGGCAGCAACAGAACCGGAGCGACCCGCGTAGTCGCGGGCGGAGTGCACCTGCAAATATCTAGGTACTAGATGTCATCTGGGTGGAGTGGTCTATGTTCCAGCAAAGCTAGCGGTATAAAAGTTATTGAAGAAACCTTTAGGGCATTCTACAATTTCGCCTGCATGGGGGGAAGTAAGAAAGAGTGAAAGGCGAACGGCACAACCCTTCAGGAATTTCTTGAATTCTCTGGAGCAAAATTTATGAAAGTTGTCGCATGCATATTTATCGGGGTATCGCTCTTAAAAATATATAGAGAGAAAAAAAGCTTGACACCGTGTGTACCGGCACGTCACGGTAGAACTGGATTTTCTGCCTCTTTGAAAATTTGTCTGCGAAGGTGATGGTTGCCCGTGAACAGTGTAGCACTCTTTCCATCGGACTGGTAATATCGATGGCCTCCTTCCGCCATGGACGCTCTAGAAAGGGAACAGGTTGCAACGGAGTTACAGCAGTGCTTGCAATCTTGCCTTTATTCCGGCAAACTACGCAGCTTTGGACGGTAAGCTCCACTTGTTTGCTCTTTATAGGCCATCAAAACCAATCTTGCCGTTTTGCCTTGGTGTACACTTTCTCAGGGTGGGCTTCATGGGCGAGCAGTTAAAAGGTCCTCTAGGGTAATGATGAAGGAACTGCGAGGCGTTCCCCTCGCCAAAGCGCGTCGTTCGCATATGCCCAAACATGGCTGTTGTTCACCCGATATTGACCCATGGCGAGGCCAAGATCAGGTGCAAGCACTTACTTGCTACAAGCTTCATGGAAAGGCTGCTGGACGTTCTTTGTGGTGAGACCGAGTGGATATATGAGAGATATAACCTTTTCATTGAAAGACGAACCTTCAGTAAAACAAGCACTCAAAGGCGGGACAGAGCATCCACAAACTAGTTGTCTGACAAATTGCTGGGTTCTATCGCATATTTAGAGCGCATAAGACGCTCTTACCAGCGCGCGATGTTAAGATAATGTCTTCTTAAATCTTGAGAGGACAGATCAGAGACCAAAGCATGGTGCTCTGTACGATGATCGCAGTATGTGTGCCAACGCTCACAGTCCCACAATCAGGCAAGTTCTTTTCGTTCACCAACCGCATAGTTTCTCTCTGCTGAGGGTATAGATTGTGCGACATGCAAATGCAACTGTCATTACCTCGTGCCTATACATTTGTTGAAGCACAGCTCCAAGGCCACAGTCATAGTCATCCGTGGAGACAACCACCGGAAGAGCGGGATCAAACATCTGAACCACTGTGATGGACGACATCAACTTGACCTTCCGAAAAAAACGTCAATGGCATCGCTCCTGGTGGAGACTTGTTTTTTGCGAAGCAGTGACGACAGTGGATACACGACTTGGAAAGTCTGGAAACAAAGTTGGCATAGTACCTGACTAAGTAAAAAAACCAAAGCAGACCATTGGGGTCTGTATGAACAGGGGTAATAAGTATTGTATCCAGTCTTTCTGTCGTTGATAGAATGCCTTGGTCAATGGTCCTGTATCTCTAGAAAAACAATTTGATGCGAGAGGTGCCCTGGTGGTACAGAGCATGAGTCCAGTGGTCTTGATGCGGCGGGGAACTGCGCCTAATTAGTTAAGGGCTCTCGTTTGGTTCAGTCAGACGCCAGAGCACCCCTCGAAAAAATTCTGTGACATCAGCTGCTGAAAAGCTGTTAAGCCAATCAACACCCTAAAGCATGCCAGCTTGAAATAGAACAGATCATCGTCAGTCACCTATTCAGTCATATTTTGGCTCTCTGGCTGCAGCAGAACCAGATGGTAGGCAGATGCAAGACCCGACTTGGCGAAGATTGTTGCTCTGATGTGGCTGTTCACGAATTATTCCGCGTGAGGAAGCGGGAAGCAATAGGCGATGGGAGGTGTGTCACGTTCCTGAAGGTGGACGCAAAGTCAACCATCTTTCATCTCTACCACATCGATAGGGGACACCCATTTTACAGCATTAACGTGCTGGATGACATCTAGTCCTTGAAATCTATAGAGCTTTTCTAAAGTTAGAGGTCGGAGTGTCTATGAAAAACGATGAAGCTTTGATGTCACCGGAAGCAGCTCGAGTCGAGTCGTGATGCGATGAACAAAACCACAGGTGTACCTAAGGTCTGGGCCGAAGAGCGAGCCGGACTATGTATGTATGCATGTATATATGTAATATGTATCTATGCATGCATGTCTCAGCCCACTACGCAAGGTGCGGTATTTGAAATGAGAGTGCCGGCAATGACGCACAACGCATGCATCAGTGGCAGCAAGAGCATGCCACTAGCGTCGTTGAGAAAGAACTCGTGGGTGCACGCCGTTCGGAGAATCGAGATTGAATGCGAGTTAATCACGGAGTAGGAGCGAAGCGAGATGTCGAAGGCGTTAATCTCTATCCAGGGTAGCCCAATTTCGGGCCACTGACGTTGAGCACAATGTAAACAAAACTTCATTTCTTTTTTTCTATTTCCACAGAGAGCTTACCGGAAAGTTGGCCTGTGTAAGTTATACGCTATCATGTGATATAAAGTGGGAAAGGCCAGATACGCTTAAAGAATGAAGTCCCTGCACTTTGGTTTACGTAAGTGTCCTTTGCAAACGTTCGTACACTGCCCTAAGTTTGGGCACTTGGCGGGAGTATCACCGCAATGAGACAAAACATACCGCTCGGATAATTTATTAGATTATGTTTTTAACAATATGCTTAAACAACTAAGAGTACGAGTACTGGGAAAGAGAAGACCAACTACTAGAGTGGAGACACAGCGCGATATCACGCAGGAAAAGGCATTACCATTTCTTTTTCAGCAACTGTGCATTACGCTTTTTAACCCGCAACATTCTCATTTTTTTTTCAGCGCTAGGCGAACTTTTCTGGCGTTAAGCTGACACGCCGTAGTACTCCAAACCCTTGCCCCCCCCCCCCCCCGCAAAAGAATTGTTTTGCCATAGCACACAGAGCACAAAATGGCGCTCAATCACATCCGCCGGCCCGGCCCTCATATCAGATTAAGCATGAGTTCCATCCCCTCTCCCCTCCCCTCCGAAAATTCTCCCTACATTCCCGCGTCGTGGTCGGCAGGAGAGGGTTTGGGGCTGTGATGCCAGTTCCGGTCTTCGACAGGGTCTCCTACGACGATTGGTTAACTATCCTCAGAACTGAGCCGCATCGAGTGTCGCTGGCATGGTTGACGTCTCGAATCAGTGCACAGACGACCCTTCAATGCGCAGGTCCAAAACTCTGATCCCACCAGTGATGAAGATGGTTGTACCGTCTGACATAACATGCAGCAGGATACAATCTGCGCCTCCTTCAAACGCGATGGTGTGAAGAAACGAACACGTAGGATCATGCAGCGCTTGAAATACTCATGCAGTTTCACTCACACAGCAGGAAGAAGCGATTGATCAGCTAAATATTGCTTGAAATTGCTTTCTCCCAGTATGGAAATGGCCGATCCCAATTCAACAATATGCTTTAAGGACTGGCCGGCAATGAAAACGTCCACGAAAATGCAGGCTCTGGAAGAGCCGTGCTAAGAGCGCCTAACCCTCAGCATCATTGGACAAGTCCAAACAGTCGCCCGTTGCAAACTGCGGGGAAGAGCCCACTGTTACCGCACAGAAGGCAGCACTGACCTTGTGCTGGACAGAAGGAGGACGAAGCACAGTGCTGGTGGGAACCACAGCGAAAACAGTGCGCAGAGGCATTGTTGGAGCCTCGGAAGCGCTCGGGGGAAACAGTCATAGTGCTACTGTCGGCGGGAGCTTGCCTGCGAGGACAATAACTGGCGGGAAGATGAGCGTGGGCGCGTTCAATTTTTTTAATTATATACCTGCCGAATGCGCCCGGGAACAAGATCACGAACTTGCTGCGCTGGCTGTTCCAGTTGCTGTACCAGGAGTATAGGACATGCGGAAAGGAAAGCGATGAATTTTCTAGACGAAGACGTCTAGAAGGTTTTCTGACGGGATACCTTTTACGAACTGGTTGCAGAAGTAGTTGTCCGTGGCGACAGCAGCGAGCTCCCATAAAGCGGTGACGTAGTCTTCTGTGGAGTCACCTAGCTGCTGAGCGTGGCGGGGGAAGTGATGGTGTTTCCTGACGACATTCGTTGTTGAGGCCAAATGTGGCGCTAATGCTGCGACAGCTTGCTCGTAAAATGGTAGGTAGTGACTAACTGCTTAACCTTGTCGTGTCGGTTACGCTGGAACGTAGGCAAGTGAATTCGTAGACATAGGATGGCAGCACGAAGGAAAGACGTTCACAGCCGACTCTCAGAATGCGTTGCAGGCTACCTTGCATCGTTCGGAGGTGAAGTCACAAGCTCCAGAGACCAAAAAAAAGGGTTTCAGATATTTGATACTATTGCGTCCATGAAACCAGTGAGTGATCCTGTTCCGATAAAAACGGTAGTGGTGGGGCGATACCGGAAAAACTCATGATGGGGCTGGCCTTACAGGTGAGGTAATGCCTTCATTAAAACTGGTAACCTCGTCGCGAATATTGTATCGTGGTTTGGGGAAGTGAAGGAAAGCAACCGACCAACCACCACTACACAACAAAAGAGAATGCTGCTCATTATTTACCACCCATATATATAAGACCACAACAGTGTCACCAACGTCCATGGGGTTTCTAGGCTGTGCTCTCAAACTAAAACAGCGACACAAGAATGCCTCATATAAGTTCGAAAATGTGCTGACCAGTGAATAGGGGAGGGGAAGGAGAAAATATGCATGACGGAGCAGTTTTCGGATTATCATCAATTGGTAATGCTGCACCTTCGGTTGTTAGTCTTGCCCCATTGTGTGTCTTACCTGTAGCCAACATCATACTATCGATTCTATAGGATTGTGAAACACGCATTCAAGCACGTGCAAACGGGCATGTTTAACTGCACATCGGTCGCAGGTGGCTCCGGAGACGTTCTTGGCGCCGGTGGCTCAGCTGGGAGCTCCTATCCTGGGCACCATGCAGTGGGACAACCACACGCGTCAGCCCGGCAGGACGAGTTATGCGTCCGTGTGCCAAGAGAAGCCGGTCATCAGAACGAGCTCGCACCCACTGTGCCTCATGGTCGCCCGCCAAGTTGACAGCCAGACTCGTGAACGTAAGCGACGTTCGTGAGTGCGCTGGAACACTACAAGCACAAATGCATTGAAACATACGAACATTTCAACCCACCTGTTACCTTCATATCTTTGGTATTTCCCGGCTGTTACGTCGGGACCGGCATAGCTCACGTAGGATCCAATGTACTTGGAATTGTGCTATAACGCGGCAAAATGTGTTCACATTAACATAAGATAGATAAGTCGTGAAGTGCGCTTCGAGCCGCCCAAGCTACTACGGAAGAGATCAGGCACTACAGAAGAGAGCAGGCATGAAGAGAGCAAGACTATTCATGCACCTTCGTCTGGTGTGACCATAATACTTGCCGCACGAAATGGGTAAGCGACTGGTACTTTTGTTGTCGCAAACAAAAAAAATCTCCTTCGAGACTCGTGTCACTAAGATTGCATCTATGGCATACTAAGTATGGCGTACTATGGCATGTTATGGCCTTTGCGATTGGTGTTTCCTTTCGCTATCACGTGGATGTAGACTTCGCGTAATCTTTGTTTGTCGAAGACGTTGGAGTCGGGGACGTACGCGTGGCTCACGGTCAGACTCGTCGCGCTGGTCATGTTAGGCGTGTTTACTACTTTCACGCCTAGAACTTACTGTTTTGAAATATTAACATAGATTGGTTTCATTTCGGTCCATATGATGCCCTTCTAAGCTGCACATTTTTATTCATCGACTAGATCGTGGCTGAGTACGGAACTCGTGCACCAGTGACTGAATTGATCGAGCAGAGGTGAAGTTCTTCGGAAATAGCTCTTTGGAGTACTGTCGATTTCGCGGGTTGCTCTACCGACTTCTGTGAGCCGTAATGATACATCGTTTCGACAGTGATACGCTATCACTCGGAGGCACCGGCGCAACACGCGACACACTTACGAAAGTATCACGATGAATTATCGCTTGCCTGGTGTTCTCCGTGATGGCAGATGATTAATTAAATACCGTAATTTTACAAATTCACCGCAAGGGCGAAAAATAAGTGACATAGCAACAGATTGTATGTAAAGTAGCACTTAAGTTTGAGGTTGATTTTTTTTAATCCGATATTGCGTAACTCTAAAAATGCTAATGTAAGAATGTGGCTGCTCCGTGGAGAGAGGCTGTTTTTTCACAGTCCTTTCGCATTGAGGGCGCTGCACGCATAAACGTATATACGAGTCGACCACTTACGCCTGTCTAGATAGGGCGCGCGGCAGCAATTGCGACCGCGCTCTTAGACCCAAAGTTCACAGTCAAAGTTCCAGTGCCCCCCCTCACCCCTTCCATGCACCTCCCCCACGTCTTTCATGTTCGTTTAAGATGGTCGGAGCGTAGAATATCTTTGAGCAATCGATGGCAGATCTAACCATTGCCGACGTGCTTCTACAGTCTGGCCGCGGTTTAACACGAATGGGGATGTTATCGCAATAGTGACGGCAATAGGCCGGTTGTTTGATCTGCCCTTCAGCGGCGTTAATCGCCCCCGCTCGCGAGCGTTTGCCCGTGAAAGAACATACGATGTGCCGAGGTATGTTCTCAATGTGGACTTTATCCGAGGCTGAGATGCTGATAGCAAAAACCCGTCGAGAGTGTATAATTGATATCGCAATAAAAAGATACGGCGTGGCGCTGCAGCTGTTAGAAATGTTTTCTTGTTGCTCTGGCATGAGTGTATGCCCGAGGCGACGTTGCATAGTTTTTTAGAGCGTAAAAATTCGAAATAAAACTGCTGTACAACTAAATATTTCTTATGTTATCGTTTATTCCGTATGGTATTTTAAAAAAGGTATCAGTGGCCTTCTATTGTTCTCTCTCTCTTTTCTCACACACATACAGAGAGAGGGAGAGAGAGAGTCCTATCCCATGTTTCAAGAAACAGTTCAATTTTTGACGTGAATTACGCGACGAGGCGCTGCTAAGACACCAAGAAAATACTTTATGCGTGACGTACGCGTACATGAAACTTCGACACTGTGTGCTCCGGCACGTCAGTCCTGTCGTCGCCAAAATCAAGCCCGCGTCCTTGAGACTAGCGGCTTGACACTTCATGTGCTAAGCTATACAAAAGTAAGCCAGAATCATCGCTCCATCCTTGTAATCGGTGTGTGTGAAAATTGAAAATTGTGTTAATGGGAAGCCTATTACTCATCAGAGAAAATAATGCCGTTCTACATAGCCGCATCATTCGCTTAATGGCATTCGAGTAATCTGTGCCAGTTTACTTCGGTAATTTGCTTCCACAATAGGGCTGCGTCAGTGTGGGAACGTGTGGCTTGGACCCCTACTAGCGTATGGTCGCAAGCATCCGTGTCACATTTCTTATCTATTTAGGGGAGTAGGTCCTTAGCGCTATGACCAAACGCCCGGATTGTGTTGGTCCAGGTGGCGACGTTTGCAGATGAGCGGGCACTCCTGGAACGCATGAGGCTGACGTACTCGAACAAGATGGCCATGGCTCCGGTGGCGGTGTTTGACATCGACCTGGACGATTTTAACGGGACATGCGGGAGTGGCATGTCCCCACTCATACGAGCCGTGGCCACAGGTCGCGGTTGACTCTCTCAGTAGCGTCATTCATGGAGTCCCTGGTGCTTCACACGGTGTCGATGGTTGATGTGCGACTGTGTGGCTGAAGTGTGACTGTGTATTGACCAGCATGTGTCTGCTATGCTCGCACGGCTGATCCTTATGCTACACTGCTGAGTACTGTGGCGGAGATATTGTACTATGTAGATAAAAACACAATCGAAGAGTTGGAAGAAATGTTCTTGTCATCTAGTGTTTCAAGCTTGAGTTACGGCACCCTGATGAAGAAAATTTTGTGCCATACAGAAGGTGCACGAGGCCATGTGTGTTTTTGTTTTTAGGGATTGATAGACACTTCGTCTGCTAGAATAAAAACCTGTCTGGATTATAGTAGCTAACTTTCAATATCGTAGCAATCACACACGAAATTACAGACTACCAACTGAGCTATCTCCACGGCCATCGCCCTTCCACTTTATGGGGTATGTACGTGCATTCAAACGTGGGAGCATGAGTGAGTTCCGCCAGAAACAAATTCAGTGTCTCCGTAGCAGCGCCACTAAATAAATGTGAAACTCCCCTCCCCCCCCAACGAAAAAAAAAAACAAGCACGACAGTCTGTTATATGCCATGAAAACTATCCAAAGCAAAGCTGCGAGTGCGCAAGAGCACTTGATAAAAAATAACTTCATCACTTGGCGTCATCATTATTTCAATCATTCATCGCGATTTTGTTTCATTTTATTGTACACTACCCATACTGATCACCTCGCTTGTGTTACTACTACTACTACTACTACTACTACTACTACTACTACTACTACTACTACTACGACGACGACGACAATGACAGCACCAGGTAGGCCAAGAAACATATAATCAGAAGTGATCACACATGAATTGAATATGCAGCTGAATATATAATGGTTAGAAGAAATTTATATTTAAAGCGCTCCCTTCTGTTAAGCGCTTCTTTTAAGCGCTCCCTTCTGTCCCTTCCATTGTCCTATGTTTCTAAACGCGCTACGTTGATCAATTATATTTAAAGATTTGCGATAAAGACCACCCTGATTTAATGAAGATTTCTACAGTGGAACAGAGATTCCGAAGACTATAATTTAAAAAGAAGGCTCCGAAAGAGAGGATATGAGAAATCGCTGACAGTGATATGATGTAGAAAAAGGTGCTTTAAAATGTGTATAACCCCCCACCCAGAGTGGGTGTGAGCCATGCATATAGGCCATCATCATCATCACCACCAGGTAGGCTAAAACTGTAGAAGAAATCCTACGTAGAATCTTCTGTGCTAGTTGTGTAAGTTGTATACGTAAGCGCTATCTATTAATTAGCTCATGTCGTCTTTGATGTTATTCTGGTTATGCTCCTCTGATGCAGACAGCGTTCACGAAGCGCTTGTATTTCCCGCGATTTTTCCGCGTTGCAATCTTCTCGAAAACGTTGCTATCTAGAGGCACCATGACTGCGTCTTCGTCCTTTTTACCCACTCATAACCGTTTTACTGTATGACCACTGCTGCAACAAACTCGTTCGATTCAAGCAATCCCATATTTAACGTGAAGTTTCAAAGACAAAAAAAATGTTCTTCTGCCGTTTAACGAAACGAAACAGGGGCTTTAAACAAATAATAAGGTCGTTTGCAATTTTCACGTTGTTTTACGATACTACCACCACCAAGCTTCTTTGCTATCTGCTCTAACTAGGGCAACTATGACTCACAGCGAAGAATGGAAAAGTGATCCAAGATTCCCTTTGTGATTGTGCTTTGTGCTGCCGTAAATACCGAATGTGCGTCTCGCATCTCCATGCTTGACGTCATTCTTGAGGTAAACGCCAATATGTCAATTGATATCTTCTATCAACGAAATAAACGTGCATAGCGCACATTGCGTTTAAGAGTGGGTCTCATTTCATACGTTTTTGTTAATAACAAGGCAATGACGCCAGTACTGGCAAGGACTGGCGTCATTTTTCTTGAAGAACAACGTTATCGTTGTTTGTTACCATCAGCCTGACCGTTGAAAAACGTGGTGTCTTCATGCGTAAGAGACACGTGGGTTTTTTGCTTTTTATTCAACTTGGAGGTTATAGCTGTCCTCCATCTTTTTTAGATTGTAGTTTTACGAATGCGTTTTCGTGTTTGGTGTAAGTTAAAACCTGGCCTTTTCTTTGAATAAACTGTCGTTTAAAGTGAGCGCTCGCCTGTATTTTTGAGTCTTTTCTTTTCTGTTTCCACGCTCTATACTCGGCGACAGCTTTTCTTGACATTGGAGTGAAGGCTACGGAGGCGGGGCCTCCGCACATTTGTGTTGCTACGCAAGTAGTCCGGCAGCTTGCTGCCGATTTCGGTTCCAGTTTCGGTTTTCACTTGCTCGCTGCGCTAGTGTGTTTAGCAAAATGTATGCATGCAAAATTGAAACGTCAGAGTTAAAGTTTGATGAGAGTGCATACATGCAGCTAGTTACTGTGCTGTTTATATACTGGTACATATAAAATTTTCCGTTGTTCAGAACGTTTTCCCAGCATTATTCAGCCTTTATAACAGTGAAGTTTCCGTTCCATGTTCAGCCCAGTATATACGGGTACGCGCCACACGTGATCGAATGTTAACGTTTACGGTATTGAGCCCTGGTACAGGCGAAACGGAAGGCCGGTTGCGGCACGATCCGGCCACGGGCCTGTCTTGTTTCAGTTTTGCTGTATTCGGTTTACGCCCTCAAAAGCTGTCAGCAATGATCGGCGCAGACTGCGCCTCAGTGTTCGAGAAGCCTCACAATTGTTGTAGATCGTTGTTAAGATTGCGCGCAAGACGCGAACAGCGAAGCTTATTTCAGAGCTTGCGCGGCCACCAGTGACAAGGCTGGAAAGTTCGATGCGTGATGTATAAAAGACGGCGCGTTCCAACGATGAGCAGCTTTTCCACGGCCGAAGCTGTGCTCGCCGCTGCAAGAGCAAGCAGCAGACGCAGCCGGCGTGCGGAAAACGTGGTGCCGTCCAAGAAATCAAAAAAAAAAAACTAGGGCGCACGATAACTTCTTTTCCATGAACAGCGTCCTATACTTGTTCTATGCTTATAATGAAGAAAGTTTTATTTATTCGGGCCAAGTAGCTATTAGAATCAGAAAATAAAATAGGTACTATTTCCTGGCGCGCGCGCATGCAGGCGGTTCAGCTCTATAGCTTCCACAGTTCTGTCAAGAAAAGCTGTCGCCGAGTGTAAATACCACAAGGGCGTATCAGTTGAGTACTCTATGTCGTTGTTCCAGGTCGAGGTTAAATAAATATAACGCCTAAATAATTATATAGTGAAATTGTGTCAATTGTGATATTGTCAGTTCTGTGTGAATTGGTCAGAAAATTTGTTGTCATGCTGAACATAAGGTGCTTTGTTTTGTATATGTTAATTTCTTGCACCGGCCAAACGGGACACCAATCTGTTAGTTTACTGAGGCCAGACTGTAAGTGAATGATGTCGGCAGGAGTCATTTTTTATATTGTTACTATGTCATCTGCAAACATATAATATGCAGTTACGTTGGTGGCTATAATGATGTAAATGAAAAACAAAAGTGGGGCCCAGCACTGACCACTGGGGTACCCCGTGGTATGACGTGTTCGCTGCTCGAGATTCGGTATATTGAGAAACTGGACTGTGTAGCAGCATCGCGCGCGTCATTTAATGTGCCCCTTCGTTTCCTGGTATACTGATGTGGCCTGTAACCCACTGCAAATGAAAATCATGTCGTCTTCGCCGACGACGCACGTAGAGAAGCAGTTGTTCAATGACAGGAGTGGTAGTGCGAATGAGCTTGCAAGCTCGAAATGCCTCTTGGGAGTCGGTAAATACTCTGTAGTGAATTTTTTCGAGACCTGTAAGGTCTCAGTGGCGAACTCGGCATGTTTGGCAAAATCGAGGATAGCATATGCTTTCCCGTTGATATATGAACGCTACCCGCTATACGAAGTTTGGTTTTCTTTTCAGTGACCTCCATGTCGGTCCATGCCGTAGCAAACACCAGTGATTGCTCTGGTTAGAGTGGCTACTCTTGTTCCACTATGAATGCGTTCACGTGCGTGGACTATAGAGCTATGGGGGTGGTTGCCACTACGTATCACCTGCATTTATTTCTCGTGGCTTCGGGCGTGGGCTTGCCGTCTTGCTGAATGTTCGTTTCCCATTTTCTTCGGGCAGAGGTTAGGTATCTGCAATTTGTATGTGCTCCCAACGGGGAGATGTGCGGCAGCACGCAAAGATGTGATACGTCATGGCCTGAATTTTCTGCATGGGTAGACTCAAGTCTCGTGACCTTTGTCACCTCGTGGAGAGAAGTCAGCTTCTCAGTGCATGCAGGGAGGGGCATATACTTTGGCAACCCTGTGATTACTCTCCTAACCTCGTTATTGAGGGGCTCCAAAGAATGCAGCTGTGTTCGAGTGACGGGGTGATAAAAAGCGCCATAGATTTTTTTCTTTCCCTCCTTGGTTGTGACACGACAGCACATCGATCACCTTAACGGCCGTTTAAGCCATTGCCACATCTTATCGCGCAACGAAATAGAAGCGCGCAGAACTGCTAATCTTAGAAATGGTGTCGATTAAACATAGGGGGGTAAGTGCACACCTTTTCAATCAAGGGTGTTATGCGCCAGATGCGTCCACTAACTGAGAAGCTTTGGTACACCGTTCTCTGTTACAGATTGCATCACTTGTTTAGAGCAGTGGAGCGTGGGGCTGTCGACATTGTTATTTCTCGCGACTTCTACGTCACACTATAGCTACTACCTTCTGTTGATGCTTAAATTATAGCACAGAGGCTTAGTATGCAGTATAATCATTTTGGGTGTAATTATGGCTTTGGACTTTAGATATTTGTGCATAAAATAGCACCCGCGCTGACCACTCTAGACATGGGATATTCTATCAACACACGACGAAATTCACTATTTTTCGCCAACAGAAAGGCCGCGTGTAGCTTGCACTAATGGCGCAAAGCTGAAGGCACGACGGAGTTG